GATACACGAAACATGATACACGAAACATGATACACGAAACATGATACACGAAACATGATACACGAAACATGATACACGAAACATGATACACGAAACATGATACACGAAACATGATACACGAAACATGATACACGAAACATGATACACGAAACATGATACACGAAACATGATACACGAAACATGATACACGAAACATGATACACGAAACATGATACACGAAACATGATACACGAAACATGATACACGAAACATGATACACGAAACATGATACACGAAACATGATACACGAAACATGATACACGAAACATGATACACGAAACATGATACACGAAACATGATTCACGGTGGTGGGCGGTGGTGTCTAGCTCTGGGCAGCGCTTCCAACAACCGACTGTTCACCATCACAGACCCTTGTCTGGAGGTTTTTTGTTTTATCAACAGATTGGACCACCTTTGTTTGGACACCCCGCACGTTTGACCAGCACGAGAAAGCCATTGATGCAAACATAAAGGAGGAGAAAGATTTGTTGGGGTTTTTTTTCAAATAAAATTACTGTATAAGTTATAGCTTTTAAGTGCAATGGGAATACATATGCATAACGTATATTGCCTTAGAATCCTTGTAGACAATGTTCTTCCCCTGCTTAGTCTTTGGTCAGCTATTAGACTTTAAACCAGTCGGAATGTTAACAAAATGGTTGCATTAGACATAGGTCGAAATTGACATTCAAGATAAAAATATTCACAAACACACAGAGAGATACTTTGAATGATAGAACTATTGTTAATGAGGAATAATTATTTGGAGTGGATAACAGAAGAGAAAATGTATAAACCTCTCCCGAACCCGCGCAACACATTGAAACCCAAAGCAAACCCCCCCCCCATCTACTTACCAACTCGACACATCGCACTACACCACATAGCTCAAAGCTAACCCCACACCCACTCACTCATCTCATACAATACACACGATTCACCACACACCAAACCACACACATTAAAAAACCCAACACACGAGTAGATCAAAACCCACACCACCTCGCTCCACACCTTAATCCACACCACCTCGCTCCACACCTTAATCCACACCACCTCGCTCCACACCACCTCGCTCCACACCACCTCGCTCCACACCTTAACCCACACCACCTCGCTCCACACCTTAACCCACACCACCTCGCTCCACACCTTAATCCACACCACCTCGCTCCACACCTTAATCCACACCACCTCGCTCCACACCACCTCGCTCCACACCACCTCGCTCCACACCTTAACCCACACCACCTCGCTCCACGCCTTAACCCACACCACCTCGCTCCACACCACCTCGCTCCACACCTTAACCCACACCACCTCGCTCCACACCTTAACCCACACCACCTCGCTCCACACCTTAACCCACACCACCTCGCTCCACACCTTAACCCACATCACCTCGCTCCACACCTTAACCCACACCACCTCGCTCCACACCTTAACCCACACCACCTCGCTCCACACCTTAACCCACATCACCTCGCTCCACACCTTAACCCACACCACCTCGCTCCACACCACCTCGCTCCACGCCTTAACCTACACAGCATGACACCAAACCAAACCTCACACAATCCCGGTCCACACGTCACCACACTATTCGACGCCACTCGAAAACATGAACCACGACATTGCCCACCACGCAAGAATTACTACACACTACAATGTACATTAAATCCCACTATGTAGGGTACGTATCCCTTTACTTTACATTGCACATCCCATATCTCAACCGCGCTGCTTACATGATCCACATACAGTTGCTAATCCCACGCCATTCCCAATACACCACAGCCTACTCCACTACACACAAAAAAAAAAAACCGCGCAACTCACGGAGTAGACAAAATCCCAATCCTCACAATACACACCACTCCACACCCACACCACGCCACTTCCAACCCTAACGACAAATGAACATCACTCCGAACAAAACCCAATACCAGGGGCGTACTGAGGGGGGGGGGGGCGGGGGTGCGGACCGCACCGGGTGACACCATTTAGGGGGGTGACACCAAGGCAAAAAATAGCAAAATATATAGAGAAAAACTTGAGGGGGGGTGCAAATCGAAAGTTTGAGGGGGGGGGGGGGGTGCAAATCGAAAACTTGAGGGGAGGGGTGCAAATCGAAAACTTGAGGGGGGGGGGGTGCAAATCGAATTTTTAGGGGGGGGGTGCAAATGAAAATTTGAAAGTTTGTCCCCGGGAAGGGTCGCAACGCCTAGGGGGGGGGGGGGGGTGACACCATTAAGTGCCGCACCGGGTGACACCCGACCTCGCTACGCCACTACCCAATACCATTATGCCCATATCCATAAATGTTTTTTGCCATATCAAACGAAAACTGCAAAGTATTACACATTTAATTTTGTATTTAATAGGATTTTTCTGCACTCGTAGATGCCTTATAATCTTAACAATCATAACATTTGTAAGTAGTAGCCTCCTCGGGTTCATGACCTCTATCTCTGTACTTTATTTCTCGTTTTATACCCAAAAAAATACTCATTGCAAAACGCTTGGTCGGGGTTCATGCAAAGTCTAGAAAATGTCTAGAAAAGTAAATATTAAACTTTTATAAGTAGAAAACCACTAGTTTTAAAAACATCTGGAAAATGTTAGGAATTAAATTTTAGAAATAAATCTTTCCAGGATGTCCGTTAGTCGACAGCGTGTAAACTTACCGTGCGAATGTTCTAAAAGACAATCTAAAATTGTTCTTTATTGAAAGAGTGATTGCGCATGGACTTTGTGTACCTTTCGATTTTACACAAAATTTTATCATAAAGATATTAAGAGGTTGCAGGCAGTCATAAAATTTTATCAAAGAGGGTGGGTTAGTGGCAGAGGTGTCGTTAGGCGGGGGCGGGGAGTGCGGACCGCACCGGGTAACACCAAGACAAAAATGTAAAATATATAGATATAGAAGTAAAATGCTTTTTGCCAGTTCAGTTAATGATTCATTAAGTTAAAAAGTCTTTTTATACAAATTGAAGATTCTGTGAAAATGGGGTGGGGGTGACACTATGAGTTGCCGCACCGGGTGACACACTACCTAGCCACGCCACTGGTTAGTGGGGGAAATAGACCAAACTATTTGATGTCCTGTCTACCAATGACTACATGGGTTGGGGTAAAATTCGGCTAATTAACGTGACGTCATATTACTTGTAATGAACCTTCGGGACACTTATCGCAACACCATAACCAGTGGCGTATGCAGGGGGGGGGGGGGTTGGGGGGGGGTCATAACCCCCCCCCCCCATAGACCCCTCGGTATATATAAAAAGTATGAGGGGGGGCAAATCGAAAGTTTGAGGGGGGGGGGGGGTGCAAATCGAAATAAGTTTTGAGGGGGGTGCAAATCGAAAGTTTGTCCCCGGGTAAAAATTGGAACACCCCCCCCCCTTGAGACGATCCTGGCTACGCCACTGACCATAACAAACCACATCTCCACTCCCCAACCCCCCCCCCCCCCTTTTTTTTTTGTCGTAGTCCCGCCGACAGTGAGCCCTACGCACCTGACCATGCGAGCACATTCTACATGCGACTTTATTTAAATTTGGCCGATTTTAGTCCCAAAAAATATGCACTATGCTCTACAATTACCTGGTTGTTCTTGTCATCTACATGTTGGCTGGTTAGGCCTGTGTTTGGTCTTACTGGGACAGGGATCAACACGACAAATACTTAAATAGTAGATTTAGATAGGCGTCTAAAATATTATATATTTTTTTTTAATGTTATACTTAACTTATAGACTAGAACTCTTTGCTAGCTATACTATCAGTGTTTCTTCCAGGCATCTCTTCGGGGGAGCCCCCCCCCCCCCTCCCCTCCCGAACGAAATGGAATTTATATAGAAAATATATACTTACTTTTATTGTGTGTTTTAACAGTTACCGGTTTACAACATACGACTAGAACCGAAACGTTCAATAACATTCTTCCCGCACCAGCATTTCGTTAGTTTTGAGTTGTACAGAGAATTCCCTAAAACATTTAGTATCTTCACAATCCTTTGTACAGCGTCAACATTACTTTTATCCATTGTTAGGGTAAGTTAGTTCTAAATATTAAAAGTAGAATCTAATAGATTGTTGTTAGAACAATTAGATCTAGTATGTTTTAAACATCAAAGTATTATTTTTTTTTCAAGTATTTTCCCCGGATACCAACCAAAAACGCATGCAAAGTATTGTGGGTGGGGTGGGGGACAGTATAATTCTCTTAACTCGTTGGATGTATTTTAATGAATAATATTAACAATTAAAAGATTTCTAAGGCATCCTGGGGTTCATGGCCGAAAAACATCTCGACCGCCTTTATTTAAACAGGCTATTTTATTATTATTCTAAATTTGTTTAGTAGATTGTATTTAACCTGTTATCTCCCCTTTATTAAGTTTCTGCACATCACTCGTGAACAATTACCGTTACCACCTAGTAAACTCCCCTTTTTCTCATTTATCCTTTCTTAAAAACTTTTTTAAGGGCTAATTTTATTTATACCTGGTCGAATTTTTTATTGTCATGTCAGATACAAGTAGGGGTTTTTAGCGAAGTTTTAAATAAGATCGTTTCGATCTAGAAGTGGGTAAACATTTTATTACAAGACTACGTCCGGACAAATCGGCCTAATAAGCCAGGTTTTGTTTATTTAAAGTACGAATGCGCGCGTATTTTCAATACGAATTTATGGAATAGAACTAGAACCTCAATTTAATCATGATTGTTATTCGTTTAGTAATAAACTTTTTTTTTTAACATTTTTAATCTATTTGCATACAACGTCGATCTATATTAGAGAAGTGAATTTAAAAGACAAGTTTTAGATTTTTAAAAATTCTTTACAAACCGTCACAATTATTAATTTGGCCAAATTTAAAATAATTTTTTTTCTCCACAGAACCGGTGCGTCACTCAATGATTCACCAGTAGGCTTGGCCTCTGCACAGTCGAACCTACAGTGGTTACGTCATTTCATTGTCTATTGCCCCCGGAAGAACTTAACAATGTTAAGTCATCTCTAGATTTAGATCTAGATCTACATCTAACAGGTGTTTCATGGTTATCCTGCCAGAGCCGACCTAATCTATTCTAGATCTAGATTTACATCATTCATCATAGTATTATTTGTGACTTTTAGTGATTTTTATAAGATTTTCGTTGTTAATGTTTTAATATACCATTCATTACCATACCAAGTGATACTCAGTATTCGAGTCTATTGTCACCACCAGAAGAGCAACCAACACTGACTGTAGTAAGTAGGTCCTACTTCCTACAGTCAACACACACAGGTAACAAATTTAAAAACAAATTGAAGTACAAACTTCAAGTAGAATCTAGATCTAGAAAAAGTAGCCTATTGGACACCAGCGAGAAAAGTCTCAAAGGTATTTGAGAGGTCCATAAATTTTAAATTAATTTAAAAATCATGCACAGCGTACTTACAATTAATATGGTTATAAAATCCTGCCTGTCTGGTTTTTTTCGGACTTTACTAAAGATTGGATCTATTTGATGTTTTTAATATTTTCGGTAACTAAATAAAAATTTTAAAAAAAAGCAAAAACAATGTTGTTTTCACGTGTAATGGCTACATAAACAATGGCATCCTGCTATTGGATAGGCCACCATAAATTTTACTGTACACATTGTAAGCTAAAAATAGAAAACTATGTCATGGGGTTTTAAAGTTGCATTGTTATTTAAAAACTTGATCTGCAAAGTTTTGTAAACAAATAGTTATCGATCACTAAGTTACTGTACAGCCAATCAATATTTGTCTTACGAAAGTGAAACATCCAGTTATAACTTAGGGTAGACTGCTCTAACTTCGACCGAGTTCTAACTTCGACCGATTTCTTACTATGGGCGGAAAAAAAATATATAAACATTTGTACAAACACCATTGGCCAAAATAAATTATATATTTAGTTACACACTTGAATTGTGGGGGATTTTCCTTATTTAAGTTCATATCTATTTTTAATCGTTTTCGCGCTCTTGAACGGCAAATATTAAGTACAACTCGCCCGTGAATTTTCTCGCGTGAAAATGATGAATTCAGTTTTTGCTGTCTTAGGGGTGTCGTGCTTCACAATGCTCAAAACACATTTAATTTATAAAATAAAATTTTTAAAATTATATTAACGCTTATAAAATAGGTTGTAGTATATGTGTGTGTTTTTATTTTTTTTAATTTAATAAAAATGTAAAAACAAATATTGAAAAACAAATCGGTCGAAGTTAAAACCACTTAAAATTGGCATAGTTCTAACTTCGACCAACTGAAAAACTTGCCCCTAAAAACATAATTTTGCATGAATTATCTTAGTTTAATTATAGTCTTATTGAATAGTTTAATCAGCAGAGCATTCCTTTTTCATAAGATCTAAATGTAACTGAAAATAATAGTGCCATATGTAAAAGACCTAACGATTAATACCCCCACCCCACCCTAGTCAAGCCTGCGCCATCTATTCATTATTTAGTATAGCTATTTTATAATTAAACAGCATTTCTACCCCAATATAGCCCTACACATTTATTTTATTTTAATTCCCTGATATTTTGACAACGTTAAACCATAGATTTATTGGAAAAAAACAATAATTTATATATAGGCTTATAGCGGTCGAAGTTAGAGCAAGGCGCTGGTCGAAGTTAGAGCAACCCGGTCGAAGTTAAAACCAAACATAACGAAGTGAGGTCTATGTCTAGACTTGCATATAAGAATTATTATCTTAATGATGATTGGTTAACTATTTATACCAAACCAATCGGCAGAGGATAACGTTTTTAATGGTGTAAAAATGAAACCTCTATGTTGATTAGTTTACGGAATATACCGAAGAGAAGCGAATTTACGGCTCGGGCGAAAACGAATCGGTCGAAGTTAGAGCAGTCTACCCTAGGCTTGATGAAAATAAATAGAAATGTAGCCTTAAACTCAACAAATTATTTTCAAGTTCTCTGGATTTGCAACTTTTATATACTATATAGATCTAGCATTTATTCTAAAAATATAAAATTTCTAAATTAATTTTAGGCTTAAACTTAAGTTTTTATTTTTTATTTTTTTTTTACGGTCTAAATCTAAAAAGCACGTTTTTATTCCATGTCAACAACATTATGGAAGGAATCTCGTCAACTCGCTGGTGTCCAGTACTTAGACTCTAACTACTTAGATCTAGTACTTAAGCCTACTAGATAATTCTAGATCTAGATCTAACTACACTAACTAGATCTAGATCTACTAGTCAGATGTATTTTTTATGTTACGAGCCGACCCGCGGCATATCATACGCCGCTATTTAGTTGTTGTTTTTTCTACTTTTCAGTTATTCATAATTTGTGAATTCGACACTACCAACGCTGCCACTGAAAATATTTCTTCAAAACACTATAAGTAGCTTGTTAAGGACGATAACCCCCTCCTTCTCCCCCCCACTTACGTTTAAGTAAACTCCACTTAGTTACCCCCCCCCCCCCTACGTTTAAAATCGTTTCAAACTAAATTATCTGCCCCTAATAGACGTCACTAAACCCGGCTCTGTTTGTAAACATTTAGAGTGAACCACAGCTCACCAGACGATTTAGGGGTGTGGGGTGGTAGGGAGCGCGTTTACAGCTTGTTTTCTAGGGTCTCCCAGAAGAGAATTTTATATATAGATTGTTTATTAATGTTTATCCTACCATGGCCGACCAGTCTAGTCTATTTGAGTCACTATTATTTGACAAGTAGACCTAAAATATAGATCTAGTACTAGAATACTTAAATCTAGTTATTATTTGGGATTTTTGTTTTTATACGATTTTTTATGTTAGTGTATTATTTATAGTATTTTATACTATAGGCCTAAGTGTTCTGAGTAATTTGATTAGTTGTTAGGCCTATAGCAGATCTGTATCTATAAAAAATATAATTGACTAAATTGTAATATGTGCCAAAAAAAAACCTAAATTAAAACAAAAATGTATGTTTGTCTGAATATGTCTACTTGTACTTGTAGGCCTACTGAGTTGTACTAAATAACCCTATTTTGACTTTTGGCACCTGACAATCTACCACACCATAGGCATATGAAGAGTCCATCAGAATCTGTTTTTTGAGCACGCTTTATGAAGGGATGGTGTGGTCAGCTGAGCTGTGCTATTGCATTATTCCTATTTATTATGATATTATCTATTGTCATCGGTAGACCATGTCTGTGTATATGATATGATTAATGTATGTAACAACATAGATCTACAATAATCTACATTCATTGTCATAAAATAGTATAAACTAGTATACAATGAAATGAATCTAGATCTACTACTACACACCAGACCAGTTCAGATAATGATTAAGATCCACTTAATCTGAATTAGCCTGACTGTTTTGTTTTAGAATATTAGTTTAGTAAGTAGCGGTAGATAGCTAGACTGCTAACCCAAAATTCTTGAGTTCGAATCCGGGTTCAAGTCAGTAGAACCTCCCTGAGTCCACCCAGCTCTGATGGGTACCTAACTCATGTAAGCAAAGAAGAGGCGACTGGGCACAGTGCTGACCACACTATCTCTTCATATGTAGAAGACTCTGAAACAGATGAAATCTTCTTCATTTGCCCCATGTACTGGAAAAGATGATGAATATTTCTATTATTTCAGTTGCAGTTACTGTGATACAGGCTGTTGGATTATTTTTAACAACTCAAGAGAATGGAAGGTAAGTAGGCCTACCTAACTCTAGACCTACTTATACAACTTACTTTTTACTTGATATTCAAATAGATGAAAGCTTCAGCTGTGTATAATATGTAACAGGAAGTAAAATTACTTTCACAAGTCATAAAATAAAAGAACAAATTATTTCCTTCTTTTTATCTCTTAGAGATGTGAATGCATTTATAAAAATTATTACTGAAGTAACTAAGTATGCCTAATACAAATAATTACAAAATTTAAAAATAATAGAATCTAACTGAGATTTTCAGAAAAATGCGATTTTTATTTTTGCATATTTTGTTCTGAATCATTAACTAAAATAATGCTGGTCCACTAGAATCAAATTATTTTTTGACTGTCTAAGGGTTTTTCTATCAGTCTGCCTCATTTTATACAGTGCCGTAATTTTGGAAAATAGAATTACAAATGTAAAATCTATGTTGATATTAACTTTGCAGATGTAAAAGAGGAAACAAACACCCATTTGGGAAACACTGCTCCAGCCACAAGTATTGATGATGATGAACTAAAAGTAAAATACAAGAGAAAAATAGGTAGGACTGTTTTTAATGTGGAAATCTTAAGCATAACAACTTCAATTTCATGTATCACACTGTTGTGAAACATAAAAAAGGACATTTGTTTTTATTTGTATTATCCTATTCAAATCTGTACTCTTACTCTTCTACTATGAACATATGAGTGTAAATGTTTTATTGGAAAGCTGGAAATTAAAACATTTATAACAACAGCTGTATATTTATTTAATTAGTCATAGGCAATTACACAAACTTAAACAATCATATTGCTTTACACATGGAATTCCAACAAGTTTATAATTCATAGCTTGAATAAATCCGAAAGATCATCCATTTATGATGTGCACAAAAATATGAATTTCAGACACACACATACCCTGTCAACATTCATCCATATTAGACCCCCCCCCCCCCTTCCCCCTCATTCGCCATGTGTTAACAAAAAAGTAATAGTTCTCATAAAGCTATCTTCCTATGTAATAATTGAACAACATGGATTGTGTATGTGAACAAATGGATGCTAATAATAGGCCAGTTTGGTAATTTATTCTCATCAGAATTGACTGTTGGATTAACAAAGATGTACTGAAATTACATTGTTCGGCATTATAAATTTAGTTTCAAATTATATTATCCATATAAAGGAGTTATTTCAAGTAGACAAATCAAATTGTATATTTTATTACTCATCTAATACAGAACTAATTTTAATTTTCAGATGAAGATCATGAGGAATTCTTGGGTAAGTAGACAAATGAAGTTTTAAAAAATGAAAAAATGCAGAAAATAGGCCTAATTGGTAGAATAAATATGACAGCATTAAAGTAGAAAACCTAGAAAATATAATAATAATATTGTACAGACGCTGAACAAAAATGTGTGAAGGCCTACATATCTAAATTAATACTTTGGAGTGTCAACTTATCTATCTTTTGATTCATTATTCATTAAATCTTATTTTTCCCATTCAGGAAAATTTTTCACCAAAAATAAATGTTGGGTTAATGGTTTGTTGAGGTTTTGAATAGCTCAGAGGCCATTCCTGTTATAGAATTTTGTGTATGGCTGATATAGCCTAAAAACTGTTTGGAGTCACCAACTCCAGTTGTTGTGGGGGTTTATTTTTTTGGGATAGTTCTCATCTAGCTATACTATTGTATATAAATTTAGTAAATTAAATGAAAGAAACATTACAATAAAGTTTACATCAGTTTTTAAATATATAAATTAAATATAGTTATTCGGATTAACAAAAATAGTGCAGAGAATGTGAAAGTTTATCTACTATTTTACTATAATGAATTTTTCTAATTTGTCTTATTTATCTGATGTCAAACAATATAGCTACTCTAATTGTCAGGACAATACTAGCTAAGTTATAAACAAAATATTGTCAATCAGTAAGTTTTTGTTAATCAGATTTTGTTCTTTTATTTTCTTTTTCAAAATCTAACCTACTTTAAACTCTTTTTTGGGGCTATAGATCAAGAAACAGCGGTTGAAGAAGAGCTAGTCGAAAATTTGGGATCTACAATCCTTACATGCAGTAATACAATAAAAGGTAAACATATTTGAGTTTTTAAACCAAATTCTACCTAGTTTTTAAACAATGAAAATAATTGAAATCTTGTCCAAAATAGTATTTAACTGTTTATTTACACTGCAATATAAATAAGCCAAAATGTTAATCTTCGTAAAATAAAACGTATTATCAAGTACTTGCTGAAAATTGATTATTCTGTTGAGATAATTCTAGATTTTGTTCTTTTTCTTTCTTTTTCAAAATCTAACCTATTTTTAAAATCTTTTTTTTTTTTGTGCTATAGATCAAGAAACAGCGAATGAAGAAGAGCTAGTCGAAAACTTGGGATCTACAATCCTTATATGCAGTAATACAATAAAAGGTAAACATAGTTGAGTTTTTATACCAAATTCTAGCTAGTTTTCATAAACAATGAAAACAATCAGTCTGGAATGGAATAAACCAACATATTTGAATTTTAACAACCATTTTATTTTTAATTATGGTTTTTTTTTTTAAATTCAAATCTTATACAGATTAAGTAAGGATATTTTATAAATTATATAAAAATGTATAGTTTCTATTTAATATGTCATTCCTAGTAGATTCACTTTGCTAAATTTTAGCAACATCTACAGTTGGGACGTTGTACTATTTACACCAGCTTACTGCATTTTTACTTACAAAATCAGTTAAATTTAAAAAATTTTAAAATGATATACCAATAGGTATGACCATATGCACATCTTCAGCAACCAACAACGCCCTCCATAAAGCCCGATGTCCTTTTCTTGTCCCACTTACCCAAATACAACCATCATCAACTAAACCCCAAATGACAGTTCCAAAAATCTGACATTTACTTTAAGCTGTAAGAAAAAAAGTACTTTTTTTAACCTGGCGGTAAGCGATATGGATGAAGTAGAGTTGCTGTGTTTCAGTGACCTTGGCATATGAAGGAATAGTGTGATCGCCCAGCCGAATTTACTTTTCCTTACGTCAAGTACCAACTCAGAACTGGCTGGACTCTGGGACACAGAACGCGTGAATCAAACTCGAGACTTTCGGATTAGCAGTCATATGCAGCAATATTCTTAACCAAACACCATAAAAAATACTACATAACAATAACAAAAATTAATAAAAACACAAAACATTAAATACACAACATAACACATTTTTTTTTTCTTTTCTACCATTTCAGGAGCCAGGATAGGAAGCGGCCATTCTCTACGCCGGCACCTAAGATATTTATATGAATATAATGACAAAGTTATGAATAATAGTGCACATTCTCGTAGTTTAATACCTAATGAACTTGACAGTAAATATTATGCTGAAATACTGACCACCAATTTTCTACTGATTGGGAAATGGGAATTAATTCATCCAAAAACTGACCTGTGTAATGAGGTTCTAAAGAACTGGTTTAAGAACAATAACAGTACAATTTATGTAACAAAGAAAAATAATAAAATTGAGTACATACGTTTTAAGCCTGATAAGTCAACAGAAATAGAGGATTTTCAGAAAATTGCTGAAATAAAATTAAATGGAACTCACAGTGATTTATTTGCAGAAGTAGAAGATGTAAAAGTTGTATTGAAAAAAGATCAGAATATTTTTACTTTACTTGAAATTTCTTACGAAAATGAAGTTAGTGATTTGGTAATGTTTAAGTTGTTTTATATTGATCCTTTGGAGTTATGTTTGTCGTATATTTTACAAACTAAAGAAAAAAAATCTGTTGAACATTTACATTCTCCACTCTGTATAAATTGCCCCTTTCCAGAAATCTTCGAATTATGTACTGTCGAAAGTATTAAATCTAAGTTAATACAGCTAAAAATAAATGGCGACTTAGAACTGGCTAAAAATCATTTCAAGAGAATTTCTAAAAATGTTTTAGAAATGTCAACTTCTGTTACTAAATTTGCTTTTTCTACTGGAATGTTTACGTTTACATTGCGTAATATAAGTACTCACAAAGTAAATAATTGTATTTCCCCAACAATCGAAATTAAATTTAAAGGAAAAGAAGATTTTAAATACGATACTATTAAATTTCGTTATTGTGATGGTTCCACACCTTCCCCCAATGGGGAATTAACCACTTCTGTTGAGGAGCAAAGTCAAAGTGAGTAGTAATTGTCTTAACACTGCAAGAAAAGTAAAAAGATACAATAGACTTTACATTCTCCCCCCCCCCCCCCCGAAAAAAAAATCCTATATAAATTTAAGTCTTTTATCATATTTTTACTTTCTCGTATATACGAAGTATAGAGAAAGTATTGTAATCGTGCAAAAAAAAAGCGAGATTTTTACAAATCTCGACGTTTTACATCTCACTAATACGGAAAAACATACTTTTGCAATCTTGTCCGTCAGTCTGTGTGTCTGTCTGTGTGTAAACACGATAACTTGAGTACCGTTACAGCTAGGTTGATGAAATTTCATATATAAGTATTTTATCAAAATCGTAGATCCTGATCAACTTTTGAGCGATTTCCGATAAACGGAAGTGGTACTTTTTCTCTTTTTAATTTTTCAAAAGCCTATAACTTGCGTACTATTTTAGATAGATGCATGAAATTTCACAAGTAAGTAAAAGATCTAATTCTCTACCTTCTGTCAAATTTTGAGTAATTTATGTTGACCGGAAGTACTAATTTACGCTATTTCCGATTTCTCAAAAAATGCATGTAAATTTATAAAGTACTAATAATATCCCGCACTTTTATGCACATTTTATTAGGCGTTCACTTAGTGTGCAATTGTTTTTTTTACGAGATTCTAATCTATTATAAAAAGTTTAAGTAATTAAAAATGGATTACAAATATTGTCTGTCCTGAGTTGCCATCCCTCGTAATTTTATATTAGAATATTCGAGAAAGTTTAGGGGAGATCACTCCCGGTTTATTATTTTATATAAAACGTACCTTTTAAATTATTTAGTTGAATAATTATTAGAAAGAAACTTCTATCTCAACTGATTTTATTTTGTTTATATTTTAAATTGTAATTTTTTTTTTGTTTTAATATACCATTTGATTACGATTTTTTAATTGTATCTAGAATGTGAAAATAAACTTTTATTTTTTTGAAGCTTTATACTTATATTTGAGTTAGATGATAAAAACAGTGCTGTTTATGTCAGTGAGAAATTTGGTGAGTTGTCCTTGTGGTGTTGTTGAAACCAGACGTGTGTAATGGCATGAATAAATGCAAACTGTGTGGGCTGTCCCCAGTGTTCTTCCAGACTTTTTTCTCCGGGGGGGGGGGGACACACACACTGTTAAAGTATATATTTTCTATATAAATTATATAAATTTCGTTCGGGGGGGGGGGGGGGGTCAAAGCCCCCCCCCCCCCCCCCCCCCCGAAGATATGCCTGGAAGAAACTCTGGCTGTCCCTATACTAGTGTTCTTACTCTGCTTTTCATCAGTGGCGTCATTTTTTGGTTTTGGTTACTTTAGTATAATAGAGATTCATCTACCCATACACACTAATAATAAAAATATGTTTAAAGAAAAGCGAACACACGTATCTCGTGTTTAAACTAAAATCTCTATCTAAGAATCTAAACAAAAACAACTAAATTGTACTATTAACTCATACAAGTTTCATCATCTATTTTGTGTACTCCTTAACAATGAATTTAATTTAGTAATGGTTTTACTTCACGCATGTAGAGGACATGCAAACAAAGAGTACATTAGGTAGATACACCACTTCGACAACAGACTTATTTTGAATCCTCTTCACTTCTGAGCATACCATTCCAGCATTCGCTATCTTATCTTACCCTTTTCCAAGTCATTTCGTTTCTTACTGTTTTTATCCTTTTTTTTTGTAAGGACCACCTTATGTAAAGTTCCCTTTTAAGACATAAGGATTCATAAGACGGATGATGTAGAGTTCATGTTTCTTGAACTCAGCGAAAGCAGGAAATGTTTGGTGACTATGCCCAGCCGCCTGTTGACCCTAACATGAGTCAGGTACTCGTCAGAGCTGGGTGAACTCAGGGGAGTCCTGAAGGCTCAAGTCCTGAACTAGATCCGAACACGAGATTTCATGTTTGATCACTCTACTAAGCGACCACGCCGTCCTATGGACCACCTAGTGCATGTCATGCTGCATGGTTTTGTGAAGCTTTAATCTATTCAGCCCCACTTCCATATTAATATGTATGACGTTTGCCTACTATATATATATATATATATATATATATATATATATATATATATATATATATATATATATATATATATATATATATATATATATAAAAGTCAAATCTCGAGTCAAAAGTCCTTGAGTTCATCCAGCTCTGTTTGGGTACCTAACTCATGTTAGGAAAAGTTAAGGTGGCTGGTCAAAGTGCTGACCGCACCTTCCTTTTATATACCGAGGTCAAGAAACATATGAACCCTACTACATCTGCACAATAGATCGCTAGGTCTAAAGAAGATTCTTTACTTTTATATATTAAAATCAATTCTATTTTTAATGATAAGGATTTATTTATAAAAGCGATTGGGTTTATTGCTAATACATGGTTAACCTTTTATGTAGGTCTATATAAACCCTGTATTAAAATTATACCAGATTTTAGTATCGTAAATTTGAAAAAATTTGGTATCGTATTTGCTGACAGTCCAGTTAATATCCCGGATGTTACATCACCGCGGATCATCACTTAAAAATACATATAATATTATTATAATATAAACCTTGTTATCCACATATCGAACTCCTTATATCCCTTTACTCAAACCAAGTCTTATCCCTATTCTTATCCCTTTATGCAATCTATCCCTATCTTTAGTAGACCAGGAGTGGAAATACTTGAAAGGGAGTATGGTTTTACTGCATTTTTATGAGGGGTGGGGGGAGATGAACAAAAGGTTAGTGGGGACGGGTTAGTGCAAGTATGAAAGAAAACAAAATTAATTTTTCCGAAAAGAAAAAAAAACTTGTTTAACATATCAATTTCCATTATGCAACGGCAATCATCCATCGAAAATTCGATTTGAAAACATAATAATCGATAAATCGATTTGATAATAGTCCAATAGATCCAGACATGTAGGCCGATCTCTAACAATAGGTAAATAATGGAACGACACGTCCGCTGGTCGTAAAACGAGTGGGAGGGGGGGGGGGGGTCGGGGACGGAAGGACGACGTCAGGGGTATAATGAAATGCCAGCAATAATTTAGCAGTGGTGTGCTGTGCCTTACTCTCAGACGCTCTCTGTTAGAAGAAAAACGGCTGGCTAATAACGACAACTCTGTTTGCGATAGCTGTAATCAAGAGTTATCGAACATAATTTATCAGGTGCAGCTTGTCTTTTATTTCTGACGTAAAGGTAACATTGTGTATATAACAATTTATTATTATAGCTATATTATTTATTATTAATTAGTATTAAATAAATATGTACACATATAAATATGTAGTTACAGTATAGAAATGTATGTATACATAAATATAGATGTGAATATACGTACACACACATATATATATATATATATATATATATATATATATATATATATATATATATATATATATATATATATATATATATATATATACATATAGGCTTAAATATGTATTTATTTTTATTAACCTGTTTATTTTATAGACATAGTTCAAATTAAAAACTCTAGTAATTTGATGCGTTTTAAAAAGTTCTTATAAAATTAGAGATTGTATTTTTAAGTGTCTGAATAGTTAGAACAGTGATAATAAGTTTGAAAACAGACACCAATAGAATAATGGTAACTGTTAAGTGATGTCTTAACACCATCAACATTATTAACAACTTAAATTCAAAACATTTAGACTTCAAATTTTTTAGTATTGTTTGAATTTTACAACTCTGGGGTATTTTAATTAAGTAATATAATCCAAAATTGGTTTTTGCGTGTGTGTGGGTGTGCGTGTGTGCGTGTGTGTGTTAGCGTCAGTACATTATTTCTTTCACACCCCTTTAAGAAAACAGACGAATGTGTATAGAACATCGTGATCCTTACACAATGGTATGATCATACAACGACGAGGGATTAAAGACGTCCAATGTAAAACATGAGAGCGCCCTAATTTGTCCTACCTGTGTCTTCTTAATTGTGGGATATACGATCTATCGCTTTCAACGCGTTCAAATCACACACACACACATACACGCATAGAGATTAGGTTGCCGGCTTCTATAGAACTATACATTACATTATTAAAAATATTATCTTCAGCAATAATAACACACGGATGCATGTTTTACCATATGTACACAATAACACAATGATGTATGTTATATCAGATGTACACAATAACACAATAATAATTATATCAGATGTATACAATAACACAATGATGTATGTTATATTAGATGTACACAATAACACAAGGATGTATGTTATATCATATGTACACAATCAGATATACACAATAACATAATGATGTATGTTATATCGCATGTACACAATAACACAATGATGTATGTTATATCGCATGTACACAATAACACGATGTATGTTATATCAGATGTACACAATAACACAATGATGTATGTTATATCGAATGTAGTTTAGGGTTAAGCTAATGGTAAATTTAAATCCACCGTTTCATTTCCCCATCGTTACAAAAAGTCAAACCCAGCCTCTAGTATAATATCACACAGAGTACTGCTGTGTTCGAGGTTCATAAAAAAACAACCTATCTTTGTGTTTTATAAACGGAGTGGTCAAATGGTAGAGTTTACGTCTGCTAACCCGTAAGGCTTGAGATCGGATCCCGGACTCAGGTCTGTCCGTGAGTAACAATCAATGCAAACTTTTAAGAATGAGATAATAGTGTTACAAAGTGGTTTTTGAAAATCACTTGCAGACATTTTGGTTGAATTGGGCGAATGCAGCAAACTAATAGATATCGTAGCAGGAACGCTGGTTAAATCAAAACTAAAATCAGAACAAAAGAGAATTTATTTTTTAATAAGTAAATAAATAAATATAACAATACTTCAACTTCGGTACGTAAACCGTTGCTTACTAAAGGGGTGGTCGGGTGGGTTAAAGTTTCACATTTGTGATAAAATTGGGGAGTGGAAAGGGGGGGGGGGGGGGTAAAGTTTCACATATGTGATAAAATTGGGGAGTGGAAGGGGGGGGGGTAAAGTTTCACATTTGTGATAAAATTGGGGAGTGAAAGGCGGGGTATTTAATTGTTTGGTAGCTTCACGCTAGTCGTGCTTGTACTCAAAATTAAAAGGACTGATGTTTAAATTATCAGCAGCCTGCTTGCTGACTGCCGTTCTCAGTTTGAGATGTCGTGTATAGATAACATCGCGCACTTCGGTATCATCTATAGATAACCACGGGCAATTATCCCCCCCCCCCCCCACTCTTCCGTATCGTCACACGTCTGACCCCCCCCCCCAATCCATCCACCTAAAGTAAGTTCTAAAATCTCTTTCCCCCACCCCCACCCCTCATACAAAAACATTTTCATAAAGAAAAAAAAAAGCATGTTATTCATAGTTTGTTTCCTAAAAGAAATACAAATTATATGCAGCTTCGCATTTCATTGACCCACCTTCACTCATATTGTAAAGTATACGAGAGTGAGGTGGACTCACGGACGTCTTACAGACTCGACCCCGGGGTCCGATCTCGAGATTTTCGAGGAAGCAGTCGTAAACTCTACCCACCGACCACTACGTTTATAAAACACAAAGACAGATTGGGTTTTTTATGAACCTCGAATACAGCAGTACTCTGAGTGATACATTACTTGGTGTTAGGACAGACTTTTCGTGACGATGGGGACATGAGTGGGAATTTACAATCTATATCACGTGACTCCCGTTATCTATATGTACAGCGGTACCAAACGTGTGAAAATGCCTGGCCTCATGAGGACATCCTTCACCCTGCCAGACGGCTACTGGGAGGACGTGCAGACGACAGACGACCAGCCGTTCAACTACTACAGCGCGCGTGCATCGGGTGAGCAGCCAATCAACTACTGGGACAGCATGCAGACGCCGTTCACACCCATCCGGCCGTACACGTTCACGTCCCTCTACCAGTCACGTGACCAAGAGTGAGTACCCTTGCGTGTACTAACCCGCACACACTAACAAACGATGGTGGTATTTACACTAACCATTACTCACAATTTTAATTTATAGTTCCTACATAAATATCTATTGTTGGTTTCCGGTGCTGCTGTAATGTAACTACTAACATATTTATATATAACACGTTGTTGTTTTTTGCTAGATTTTGTTATTTAGTCCAAACTGTTTCTGGTATGAAACTTTGCCAACATTTTTTGGTCCAATCAAGGAGCACATTAAATCTTATATTTTACCATCCAATGGTCATATTTTATGATCGTGTCATATATACCTTAAACAAATTATAACTAAAACGTTATTTTAAAAAAAACCTTTCATTTTCGTTAATATTTTCTGCCTTGGTTTTAAAATGTCTTCATTATCTTATTTTACATGAATTGTATTACACATACAACACACACACACACATACACACACATACACACAAAACGTGTGTTGTGCTTAACGAAGCAGAATTATACAGTTCCTGAGTATCGATCAAATTTGTTTTCCTCAGCTTACTTTGTATACGTTCATAATATATTGATGTAATGGTTTAAAAAACAAAATCTGGGTGTGGTATAACATAGCTGTAAACATACATGAAACTGGTTTTAATATTAAACACGGTTTGGTCTATACATCAATTCTGGTTAGATCACTTGGGTTATATGGCTATGTTATTTTATTATCAATCTAAAGAAGTGGCCCCGATAAAATTATAGCGGTTCTTTTCTGATGAAAATTCTACGGTTCAAATTCTTAAAAGATTAACATTGCTTTTGTTTCTGCTGTTATTAGTTGTTTTTTTTTCTTGTTTTTCTTGATGTAATTTTTTTTTAAATATATACGGTCAAAAACATTTAGTATCGAATGTCGACAACGAAAATATAATACTTAAAATTATTTCGACATATTATTTTTTGTTTTGTTTAAAAGCAACTCATTGCCCCAACTGATGATTGCTAAGGAGAGCGCTGTAATGTTTTTCTTTCTATCTTACGACAACTACACATCACAAAGTACATGAACGTGTTTTTATGTATATCTTTACTCCTGCGTTGAATGTTGCCATGCTAAATAATATGTTACATTTGAGAGAAAAGTGAATTATACTGTCAGTCTGGGTTATATTTAAGTTATAATTAAATATGTGTGAAAAGTGTTATGTTAGCGTATGAAAACATATCTAATTATTTATCTTTTGCTATTGCATTAAAAAAATTTCGCACGGATCTATTTATAAACATGTGCACCGAAAAACACTGTTTTAATTAATTTTTTTTTTGTATTTTCCGAAACATTTTACTTCCGTTGTAAACACCGGACCATGTGATGTTCTCTTGGTATGTGTAAGGCACTTTGTAAAACTCCTAGACCAATATAGATCTACTGGGCGTTACTGTTACGTATAATCGTGTTAGATTTTAACTGACGTAGTTGGACACTTGATAAATACATCTGGACTCTACATAATCTAGTAAAATCGAGCCACATTCTTCAAATAGCAAACAAAAGTTGCATCGACTTTAGATCTATCTACACAGATTCCTACCGACTGAAGAGTGGGATTTTTTATTTATTTGGAATACATTTTGGTTCCGCATCTTGTGTGTAGTCATAAGTTCTACAGCATATCCCATCTAGCTAGTGGCTTGTGTGTGGGGGGGGGGGGGGGGGGGGGGGGGAGAGAAAATAAGACCTATTTATGTACGTTATGTTCTTAACATTTTGGAAATCCTGTTCCTATCCCTAGCCACAGTCCTAACTTCAACCCCCGACTGACCTTCATAGTGATACGGATACAAAAAATACCCTCTATATCAGTCAAGGGCCATGCGTTGGTTGCTTTTATTGTTTTATTACATCCCATATCTCTAGGGCAGGAAAAAATCAATTATCGATACTTCAACCTTTATAGCTATGGTTGGCTTGAGGGTATTGGTTATGTTTAGTTTATGGTTTGGTCTGAGGTTAGTTTTGGGTTATATCTAGGATTAAGATGACGACAGAGGTTAGGTTCTGGGTTTAAATGTCTTTGGTACCAGCTATACGAAAACGAGGGAAGGGCTAGTAAAAAAAATTAATAAATTTTTGTGATTATTTATTTTAAATCAATTACTACAAAGGATAACTAAAACTATTGTACTACTTTTGCAGGAGTGCTAGGTAAAATAGACGTTAGTTAAAAAACACAAAGGCACGCAACTCCAAAATGATGCAAAGAGTACCTCGCTACCCTCCCCTTCACGCCCGGCTTATCCGCCTTGAAGACGGTCCACCCATGTACCGGATGCTGGGCTACGCCGACAAAAACAACCTGAACTTTGACCTCTGTGATCCTCCGCCTGTCGGCTACTTCGGCCCGTTCGCCTTTCCCCGTCTGCCCACCAACCAGCCTCTGCCCTTTGGGCCCGGGCGTTACGGGCTGCCGTCCCTACCCCTGGCCTTCTCCACCCACTACTGGGATGACCGTGCGGACAGCTGCGACCCCTACTGCCACCAAAAGCCCTACCACAAGCTTTACCGTCTGGGTACGGAGCCCCGACCGGAAGAGGTCATCTTTCCGGAAATGGCCGTCCCCGGAACCGGCGTGCAGAGTACGGTCTTCAACAGTGGGTTTTTGCATAACCCTGACCTTCATCCGCCGAGGTCGTTCTCGGATTCGGACAACACCTGGGGCACACTGAACTTACATTCTGGGGCCATTTATCTATGAGCTGCACCTAAGGACACAACTAACGTCTGCCCAATATTCAATCTTTGTAAGTCTTCGTATACCAAATCAATCGTTAACACAAAAAAAAAACAAGAATAGTGTCATCGTTACGTGTATTAAAGCGTCAATTTCATTCCCTAAAAATTCGTGACTTTATTTAATTTAAAATGGTAATAAAATTAATAACATTCATCGGTATCGATTTTTTGTTTTTGTTATTTTAATTTCGTTACTCCATGAAGAAATAGAAATGTCTGCATATCATTCTTAAGGAATTAATTTTATTTTGTTTAATTTCCAACGTGAATGCTCTGTTTGCACGCGACGTCAACATTGTGACTGCTCTTCACAGCTGCATAAATTCAATGGATTAATGACGCATTAATTAAACACAGTATCAATCTCTTTTTTTTATTTACGCATTGATTAGCCCGCGACACGGCAATCGTTCGCCAGTGACCTCTGGTGATCGGCACACCAGGTAATAAATACCTGCCGGCGGGTCGGGTGCCGTTGGCAACCAGGTGAGACCAACACATAGACACCTGCGCCAGTCTGGAACTGGGTCTGTGGTGACGTCATGGAGTCGAGATTGTTGATATTATGCATGGCTATGCTGAAACACGTGGTGGGTTTATGTTGATTGGGTTTTTAGTTGTGATGGATGAGAGGGGTGTATTTTTAGACATCACATGTCACATAAATAGGGCCTACATGTAATTTCTACCTCAGGATCCACGTAGCACATATTATATGGGGTGAACTACTATAGCATGTACGACGAACGAATAAATTCAATCAATTAATACGCTCATGATTACTATGCATTTACTTCAACAAGAATAAGTGTAGTGTAAACATGAACCAGTTTTATCTAAAGAAACTCTCAGGACATGCAAACAGATGAATTGTGTAAATACATTTCTAGCGTTGTGTGACGTAGAAAGCCCACTTGGGTGATAATTCCAAAACGGTCTGTAAGTCTCTACGGTACTTCAAATTAATTACCCACAACTCCTTAACACCATAGGCAGAGTTTAACCTTCCAGACTAAAGGCTTAAACCAGAGTTTCAATCATTTAATCCCAGTAGACTTAAGTTCAGCTTAAAGTCTATTTAAATTTTCTTAGCCACCACTTAAAGGTAAGACACTTCCCTACCCCCCCCCCCCCCCGCAAAAAGACACACACACAAGTAGTCGTGAAATGTAAAGCTGACACACTTGACAACACACCGTTAAGTTTTGTAGCAACTTCTATTATCGGCGATTGGAAACCGATCAATAAGATATCGATTTTCACCGATCACGAGCGATCGGCGCGTGCTGTCAGAGCTCTAAAGTCTTACAGGTGTGTTTGTTGTTCTGGTAAGAATTTCTTGTTGTTTTTTTTTCTTATTTATACAGTAATTATAGAAATCGTGTGTTTTATTGTATCGGTAGTTAGTATTTTCATACTCATTTTACATACAATAATAACGATGTACATAATTTTGTGAGGCGAGGTAAGGGCAGGCTTAGAAAGATGGCAAGAATGTATAGAGTTCCCAATTGATAAGGTGGCGCTGAGATCATTATGATAAGTTTACCATAAGTTTGGTGCATACTTTTAGTCTATTTAGCTTTAATTATATTCATGGGAATAAGGCTGAAAAACATTATAACTTACATTACAAAGTGGATTGTTAAAAATCTGAATATATATATATATATATATATATATATATATATATATATATATATATATATATATATATATATATATATATATATTATATATATGGAGCTGTGTTTCGTGACTTTACAAGCTGTTCGTTGATTTAGGGGTTAAGGCTAAAAATTGAACGTTAATTAACCTTTTCTGCTTTTGCGCTGTCACGTAGAATAGAAACCAGGAACGATAACTTGGTTTGATTTAGTTTGATTACTGCCCATAAATTTGTTAGGAGCCAAAACCTTTGACCATCGTGTCATCCATTTAGCGGTGTGTGGCGTTTAGGAAACTTGATCAGATCCTTGTTTTAAACTGATACAGTTGTAATGGGCTTTAAAAGCTGGCTAAAAGAATGCTTTTAATTGGGTTGGTTATTTTAAAAAGTGTATCATAAACCATCTTCGATGAAACAATATATAATATAATTTTTGTGTTTACAAGTTCATTATGTACTATGGTTACAACTTTTGAACATTGAATCAAAAGAAGTTAAATGTAAAAATAACTGAACGGCGAATGGACTGAGATGTATGAACAAAAAAGATTATTGGTTTTCAATTTCCAGACGCCGTAAATACTTACTACGCCACTGAATTCTGATGTGTTATGTCAAGGACATTTCATAAATTTATTTTACACGCTAATTGTCTTTTGTTGTATGGGGTTTTTTTTTTTTTTTTTTTTTTGAGGCTATGATTGTGCTTTTAATGTTGCTGAGTGCAAGATATAATAAAAAGCAGTTTCTTCACGGTTAGTTGGGTAAACAGGTCACCCTTTGAAAAATGCAGCTATGGTGTTTCGTGTTAATTTACCCCGTTTCCTGTTTGAAGCACTAACTAGGGTAGCGTTGGGATTGAACCAGTGGTTAGAGTTTGTATGACGTTTATCGATTGGGTCATTGGTTATGGCTAACGTATTGATCCTACAGATATATCTTAATAAATAATGACGAAATTCATCGGAAACTCAGCAAGCCCTAGATAAGACACGTAGTTACATATTTTTGTTCCCTATGCGAACTCTTGTTTATTAAAGTGATAATGCAGATAATATTGGATTATAACACAAAAAGTATGTCATTCCCCTCTACCCCAAACATTATATAACATTTCCAACATCACTACCCCTCATATTTTATAACATTTTTAATTCCCCTTCTCCTCAACACACCACCAGCCCTTCCCCCTAACCCCATGGACTGTGATATTTTCGGTACTACAGAATGTTGTGTTTTAAAAATAGATTATCAAAGTAGCTTCATTTTGGAGGAAATCGCTCATTGCATCTTTGTTATATCAAAGCCTTACATTTTATGGAAACAAATTTGGAGTCAATGTCTTAATTGAATACAGACATAACGTGTTAGATAATATATTCACTATCCATACATAGTATATGGTTGAGCTTACTCTCTCTGTTTCCAGCCCCCCCCCCCTCCCCTATGTAAGGCTACATGCTTAGAAAAGGGTGTCCCCTCCCCTATACACACACCTCCCTTCTACGTAGAACTACATACTGGCTTAGAAAAGGATGACCCATATACATACACCTCCCCCTCCCCCAGGAAGGCTACATACTAGTTTAGAAAAGGGTATACATACACCTCCCACGTTCGACTCCCCCTCCCCCCCCCCCAGGAGGACTGCCTACTGCTTTAGAAAGGTGTGCCCCCTATACATACACCTCTCCCTGTGTAAGGCTACATGCTTAGAAAAAGGCGACACCTGAGATGTAGGGCCTACACTTTCACCCCACCTGGTTAAGCCTCTTGCCTCATTAGACACGAAACTAATTAGATTTCAATTATAATATCCTATTTCATTCGTTTGTGTATACCTTTTTTTTTCGGGCTAAGTTCCCATTTTCCCAGAGCGTGTGTGTATTTACAAAATATTGCTGCCCATTTTTTATACGGGCTAATTTCTATTTAACAATATCAGTCTCGTATCCGCCGTAGACTTTTACTTGTAAACTTTATTTTTGTTCTAATGACGTCATCCAATTTGTGATTGTTTCCCATTGTCCACAATCAACAGGAAGTGAACACGGGAGGCAACTCGCAGAAACCCCTGTCGCCATCTTGAAGAAACTTCACCACCAAAACACCAGCAGTGCCGCCGCCTCCCACGTCGGGGTGCCAGCCCACGCCATGTCGCAGTTCTGTACGCTAAAATACCCCCCACCCACCGAAACCCCGACCCGTTTAGAAAACCGACCCCCTGTCTCTCAAAATGGCGGGTCCTTCATGGCCACGCAGAAAGCCTGGCCGCCATTTATTCCAGGGTACTTCGGACCATTCTCTCTCCCTCCGCGGAGAAAATCAGCCATCTTGGATTTGAAAGACAAACGGGACGGGAACGACGCGTACGGGCCAGGGAACGCAAGATGGGCGGAAGGGTCGTGGCCGTTGCCGTATCACACGTTATACTTCGACCCGCAAGTCCAAGGGGACTGGATCCACTTTGAGAGGTACATGGCACCCGGGCAGATGGTGCGACGCCGCTGGACCCAGGATTCGATGGAGGAGATTCGCTTCCCGGATAAGGACATCGCCAGCCCGGATTACATGGACCGGAAGAACTACCGCGGGTACCACTACCTGACTAACTACACCACCCGCCATGTTGTTGGGGACCCTGGGGCCCCGTGGAACAAAAAAGGGGAGTTTGCCTACCAGTCCTGGGCAACGGTGTTGCCTAATGTTGATATCTAATATCTAGGCAATATATAGTTTCGAAACTTATTCCGTGCATTGTACTTTTTAACGCTCTTAGTAAACTGTGCAGATTCCTAAAGTGATTCTTGTGAATGGACAAATTAATACAGCAATCTAAAGCTCAGTATTCAAAAAACAATCCTGTTTTTTATTTCAGTCCTAAAGATTTTTTCTAAAACATTGACAGTAGCTTCCTAATTTAAAAATACTATGGTGAATGGACAAAAGAAAACTACAACCATCTTAAGTTCAAAATTAACAAATAAAATAAGAATAAACCATAAGAAAAGAACAAAATATTTCATCTTTCTGTTCAACAAGGCTCATGACATTGTGCCATCAAATCAAAGACAAAAATTAAAAACCATTGAAAGAGTTTCATGTCTTACAACAACAAAAAACCCATGCTTCGGAAAATTTATGGAATTTTTAAATTGAAAATTGGAACATTTATCTGGACAATAACATACTTTCAGATGTTCTTACTTTAAATATGTAAACTAAGAGCCTTTTAAAATAAAGTGCATGTACATGTATATATAAAAAGTAACGAAGTTTTGTCTGTGATATATTACAAGTATTATATTTTTCACATTATAGTTTTATGATAATTTTTTTTTCCATTACAAGCAATTTTTTTATTGTTTATGAAACTAACACAGGTGTAAGAATTTGTAATGCCATCTTTTAATGTAAACAGTTTATGTTTCACGTCTACTGTTGTGATACAAAGATGCTTAGAAAATCACAGTGCCCTTAAATTTAAAATCGATGTCTACATTTAAAAACGATATAAAATAAAATTGTTTGCCAACTTATTTCCCTTTTACTTTTATTTCTCTATAATAATATTTGAGCAAGTTGTTGTTGCACTAAGTACTTCAAAGTATGAAAGTTAGGCTACATGTAGTTTGATGAAAATTTTTGTTCTTAAATGAGTTTGGTTTCTTTATTGTCTTAAAATCAAAACTATTAGGCTTATTTCAATATCTACTATATAAACAAAATTGAACAGTAAAAAAACGAAAGTATTTTTTTTTAAATAAAAAATTCGAAATAAAAAAATTCCATACAAAAATAAAATAAAAAATACTAAATAAACTTACAAGAAAGATGAATTCAAGTTAATTTATGTTACTTTATATTTTTATTTTCTGATGGGATACAAGTCGACATTTCTCTATTCTTTAAATGACTTTAATTAGAATGATTTAATCAAATGTGTTGATGTTTAGCACCGACTCGAGCTTACAGATGGTACGGGAAAGTTTAACTCACACTCCAGACTGCTTGTACGCGCATTATTTTTTGAACTGACACGGTTGAGAGGCTTCAGGGTCATAAAATGGCGGCAGTGACATCTGGTACTTGGAGTGGTTACCATAGTGATTGGTGGCGCCACTGGGAACCACATCCGGGATGTCCTTGTAAGCTGGGATTGGGATGACCCGACACTCGCGGTATTCTACTTCCGGGGCGGATTTTTTCGCTGGTCTGCCCATGCGCACTTCGTTGTAGAAGTCCCAGTACTGGGTGGGGGCGGGGGGTAGGTGGCAGTACAGGGTGTGGTTGGCTTCGATCTCTCTGACAATCTAGGAGGTCAAGTAAATAATTCGTGGATTAAGTTTATTTACATACTGTAATGAATTGTTAAAAAGCTACAACCCAAAAGCTATAAACAGAATCCTTTTTTTTTTGTTCTTCTAAAATGGTTTCCTAATTTAGAACAACTCGGGGCCTAAAAGATGGTCAATCTGTATAGAAGAAAAATGTACTCAAATTATTTTAATTGGTAGTGATCTAATGCACATACCTGCACATCTGAACTTAGCAAATGATCATGTGCACATACCTGCATGAGATGTGCACGTCTTACCTCTGTAAAAAAAATCGAGTGCCCGACCTGATTTTCTTACCTCAGTAAGTGATAGAGTGCACACATCTGCATAAGACCTGCACACATTAAGTTGTCAAGCGCACATACATGCATATGTCAGTGGACGAGAGCACATACCTGTACCAGACATGCACGCCTTGCCTCTGTCAGTGGTCAAGTACACCTACCTGCACCTACCCGCACCAAACATGCAGGCATTACCTGTGTGTAAATGGTCAAGTGCACCTACCTGCACCAGACATGCACGCCTTACCTCTGTCAGTGGTCAAGTACACCTACCTGCACCTACCCGCACCAAACATGCAGGCATTACCTGTGTGTAAATGGTCAAGTGCACCTACCTGCACCAGACATGCACGCCTTACCTCTGTCAGTGGTCAAGTACACCTACCTGCACCTACCCGCACCAAACATGCAGGCATTACCTGTGTGTAAATGGTCAAGTGCACCTACCTGCACCAGACATGCACGCCTTACCTCTGTCAGTGGTCAAGTACACCTACCTGCACCTACCCGCACCAAACATGCAGGCATTACCTGTGTGTAAATGGTCAAGTGCACCTACCTGCACCAGACATGCACGCCTTACCTCTGTCAGTGGTCAAGTGCACCTATCTACACCAGACATGCACGCCTTACCTCTGTCAGTGGTCAAGTGCATCTACCTGCACCAGACATGCACGTCTTACCTCTGTCAGAGGTCAAGTGCACCTACCTGCACATACCCGCATCAAACATGCACACCTTACTTCTGTCAGTGGTCAAGTGCACCTACTTGCTCCTACCTGCACCTACCTGCACCTACCTGCACCTACCTGTACCAAACATGCACGCCTTACCTCTGTCAGTGGCCGCGACACCCAGTCCTGGTAGCGATAGTTGGGGGTGTAGGGGTTCTGTAGATGCTCCTGGCAGCTCATCCTCCTGATGGAACCGTCCAGGTTCTCCCTCAACTTGGTCAACTCCTCGGGGACCTGCACCCCCATGGGGTCGTCGGGGTGGTAGATGGCGCCCCGGTAGTGTTTGTCTACCAGGGGGTGGGGCGTGGTCTCGTACAGCTGGAAATTAAATAAATTTCCTTCTTATTGATTAGCGTATCAAACTACGTGTATAAATATATTTTGTCACTACGGGATCTTTAGCTTTAGGTCTGTGTATAGATTAAGGCTAGACTAGGGTCAGGTTTTGGTATTGGACTGTTGTATCTTTATAGTGAGTATGAAAGTTTAATTAAAGAATCTGTTCAATAGTAAAAAATAATAATTGCACTTTTTAAAACAGTTATTATTACAACACAATAAGGCAATACTATGCAGTGTTTCTTTCAGGCATCACTTTCGGTAGATTGATAGAAAATATATAATTTTTCCTGTATCCCCCCACCCTCAGAAAACTTACTACCCATCCCCAACCACCATTTGTCAGTGCTATTTAAAACAATCTCAACGTATTAAGGACGTAAGCGGATCTCAAATAACTTTCTGCGATATATTTTGAGGAACGTCCTAGCTTGAATATAGTAAATGACCAGTCAATGTCGAATCATATTGGAAGCAGTTGATTTTTAAATTTGAATGAGACGCCAACAATTTATTTCAGCGAAGTACAACCAAAAGTTGTTTTTTTAAATGTGTCGTATGTGTCGTAATTTCAAGAGGAATGTAAGGATTAATAAGAAAAGTAAGTTCTCGCTTTCATTCTTTTCCAGGCTACACAGTAGGCCTAGTTATTGTACAATGTATGTACAGTGTTTCTTCCAGACTTTTTTCTCCGGGGGGGGGGGGGGCACTTGAAATTTTCGGGGGGGGGGGGCGGTAAACTTTCTTCGGGGGGGCGGACACTGTTAAAAGTATATATTTTCTATATAAATTATATAAATTTCATTTCGTTCGGGGGGGGGGGGGGGCGGTAAAAAATTTGCCTGGAAGAAACTCTGTGTATGTAGGAAAAGCGTCGCACAAATAAATGTAATATAAGCTATTCAAATTGGGACGGCGTGGCCTAGCGGTAGAGAGCCAGACTACTAACCCGAAAGTCTCAAGTTATAAATAGATGTGTGCTAAACCGATAAGTCTCGAGTTCGAACCCTCGGGCAGATGAGGTTCGTTAGCTGGAGACAGCCACACTCTTCTAGGAGAGACAACGAGACAACTCCAAAATCAGACAACCGCTGCCTTGTAGTTTGATCTTGGTTGGACAAAGGCTATGGAAGCAAATCCAAAAAGAAAAACAGGCTGAAATCGGAATCAATCGCCTCAATGGCGCATAACCGGTTGACAAGTATAGTTAATTGTACTGGAACGGATCCCTTCCAACACTAAAATTAAGGACGAAGAAGAAGAGAAAAAAAATCGATGTGTAATACGAGTCATAAATACAGATTGTTAACTCGACGCCAACACAACTTGCCTTAAACAGAGGGTGTTCCCCTCTGGGGCGCCGTTGTTGTCGCCACCCCCTGGGCCAACAGACGCCCCACCCTGCGTCCTTGTCCTCTATGGGCGCAGCAGACTCCTATAGCTGCTGCAGTAGGCGTACTGGTACTCCGTGCCCGGGGGCCAGCTGGGTGGGCGGTGGTCACGGCGGGAAGTTCGGGTACACAGCCCGTACAGGGGCGGATTCTTGACGGCTTTCACGTACCTGGGGGTGTGGGATTGAGTCGTCTGTTCAATGTGAGATACTCATCATTTTTTTTAGGGGTGGGGGTGGTGAGATTAATCGTTTTGTGTTGGACTTAAGGAGGGTGGGGGGGTGGACTAGTTTTATCTTTTTTTTTTTGTGTTAGAGTTATGATTGGAGGGGGTGGGGGTGTAGCATCATCTTTCATTGTCTGAACTTAGAGGGTTGGCCATGAATGACGTCACGTTTTTTTGTTTAAAGTTTTTTTTTATCTCCCATTCGTCACACATCATCACAAAAGGCCAGACCCCTTCCTCAACCCTTAAAATGACGTCACACCTCAACCTACAACCCCTCTTTTCCCCCCCCCCCCCCCCACCCTCCTCAAACTGCATTTTTTAGAACCATCGATTTCTTTCTAAAAAATATTTACTGGGCTAAATCAGCATTTGAGTACATACATCAATTTTTATTTCAATTTACAAAAGTAAAACAGAGTGTTTATTTTTTTTTACAAACGCGAAACAACAGCTAAAAGTCAGTTGTAAAATGTCTTTTTTAAATGTAAAAAAGTTGTCGTCAAACTTTCTAAACACCACCCCACCCCTTCCCTTCCTACCCCTCGTCACACATTGTCACAAAGTTTCGAGTGCGGTCGTTTATGGGCGATCACTTATCCAATACATCACTTAAAACATTAGCCCATTGATGGTTTTGCCAGTACCCTCGAAAAGTATAACTAGTATAATATGTATATGAAGATTGTACCAACCGAAGATCATTCTCCCCTCTAGATCCGAGCCCCTCTGTGTAGAACAAGCAACTTTCGTTTGGCTTCCTCCAGTCCATGGCAGTAAAAAAAAAAATAGCTTTCTTTTCTCTTCCTTTCTCAAGTTAGAAACATTAATTTGACGAGTGATGTTCTTCAGGTTCTAAGTAAAGTTTCAAATCTTCCAATAATCCCGCGCGTCATACTATTTTAAACGTGGATTTGATGTAGTATTGTTTAACATATTATTTCAAAATTAAAACCTGTATGGTTTACTT